TAGGGCTGTTTTGATATTAATTGAACTAACACATGTAAATCTCATAGCATAAAGCACAGCAGGCTGTGAGTAAAAAAGTTAGCTAAACACAGGGTCTGCAGAGAGAATAAGGGAGAATTTCGCACATTGAGAGTTATACAACTGAGGGAACATCGATCTCCAGAAATATTCAGCAGGAGTAAGGATCACCATCTGTCCTCGATGCTTTAGAGGGAATGTTTGACAAGATGTAGTAAACAGTCTTTTCTAGTTCTAAGATTCTAAGGAATCCTCAACCAGTTGTGTTGAGGAGACTGTAACTTATGGTGATTACATGTGTGTCAGAGTAGAGATGTGATCCATAGGGCTTTCAATGGCCGATTCTGGGAAAATAGATTGCCAAGGTGCCTCAGGGTGGACTCAAACTTCCAACCTTTTGGTTAGCAGCCAAGTTGTTAACTACCCAGGGCCTCCTGAGGACTCCTGTCTGCAGAAACCTTTCAGGTGCCAGACAATGGCAAGCGTATCCTGTTCCCAATGTTGTTGTTGTTGTTATATGCCGTCGAGTCGGCCCCGACTCATAGCGACCCCTCCTTGGGTTTCCGAGGCAGTATCACTACGGAAGTAGGATTGCCCAACCTTCCTTCCGAGGAGTGGCTGGTGGGTTTGAACCGCCAGCCTTCTGGTTAGCAGTCAAGTGCTTTAGCCACTATGCTACCAGAGCTCCTTCCTGTTCCCAATGTTGTTGTTGTTGTTGTTATGTGCCGTCGAGTCGGCCCCGACTCATAGTGACCCCTTCTTGGGTTTCCGAGGCAGTATCACTACGGAAGTAGGATTGCCCAACCTTCCTTCCGAGGAGTGGCTGGTGGGTTTGAACCGCCAGCCTTCTGGTTAGCAGGCAAGTGTCAGCCACTATGCTACCAGAGCTCCCAATAGGAGGTTTTTATTCTGTAAATTGGTACAACAGAAGCCAAACAGACCCAGTGGCTTGATTCAAGCGTCTTTCTCCTAGTCAAGATCAGAATGCCTCGAAATATTTAAGTATTTAGAAGGGACAGAAGCTTTCTATATTGTTTGCATAGAGAAGTTTCATTCTTTTGTATCTCACTGTTGCTTTAAATTTAATTTGTGAGTGCACACCTTTCTCTGACTCTGAATTAAAACTCAAGCGATTCCTTGACTTGGCTAATCATTCAGATAAAATAAATTATTTTGGTACAGAAATCAAATTGTTCAGTTGTATATAATAATCTAAGCTTTGAACTTGCCTCGAGTCAAAACTCCCCTCTCTGCCTGCAGCTTGACCCAGGCTGTATATGCAATGGGTGGGAGGAAATGTTACTTGGTGAGATTTCTTCTCTCTTTTTCTTCTTGGCATTTCCAGTCCTTTGCCCCCTTCTTGTAACCTTGGTTTCATCTCTCTCCAGTGTTGGGTTGGGGAGGATGGAGCAGAGGCTCAGGCATCAGAAAAGTTCTTCCTTGCCTTGTACTCTTGTGAACAGGTGTTGCACCCTCTTGGCCCACCTGATGTTTAGGGCCAGCTCCTCTACAGAATGTTGACACGAGTTCTTCAGACAGTACCCACCAATCACTGGCATGAACAGGCACTTCTAAGGACTCCAGTTTTCATAGACCTTCCCCTGGCACACACAAAGAAGGAGAGTGTTTCTCTTAGTTCCCCATCTCTGATGACAGGGAGTATGTGTTTGTGTGTGTGTGTGTGTGTGTGAGAGAGAGAGAGAGAGAGAGAATGCACATATGCATGTGAGAGCAACTAGGTGTGAATGTCTGTCTAGGAAGACAAGAGGCTGGCCCAGAACAGTAGATAAAGCCTTTGGTGGTATGAGTTGGTGGGGCTCTGGGCTGCCAACCTGAATAGATGTATTCCATATCAGTCACAGTGTTGCCAGAGAAAATGTGCAAGGACTAGAGGGGCTAGTGGAGCTGAATGGAGACATCCTGGAGAGTCTTGAAAAGGATTCTGGAGATTTATGCCCAGATGTGCTTTTGATGCATTGTGATGACAGACACCCACCTTATGTCATCACAGCTTTGAAGATTTTCCAAGACATTTGTTCCTACATTGTGCAGTTGATATCTAGAAGGGGGAACATTATCACATTTTGAATTTCTCTGCTCCTCCAAGACACAGATTTTGACATCCTCTTAACAACCTGGTGCATGTCCCTCCCTTTGGGTATTTTCCTCCTACTTATTTACAGTTTTGGAAACAGCTTTGAAAAGTGCAATTTGTTGGGAAATAAAATATAAAACAAAAACCCAGTGTTTCTCTCTGCCATTTACATTTGTTTTTCCTCTTTCTTACTTATCAGTATGACTTCTTTTTATAATCTGTAACCTCAGGAGCTCTGGTGATATAGTGGGTAAGACACTTGGCTGCTAACCAGAAGGTCAATGGTTCAAACCCACCGGCTGCTCTGTGGGAGGAAGATGAGGCAATGTACTTCTGTAAAGATATATAGTCTTGGAAACCCAATGAGGGTTGCTATGAGTCAGAATCAACTCAGTGACAGTAGGTTTGGTTTTGGTTTTTAACCTAAGGTGTTAACTAATGATATTTCCCCCAGCTCTTTGAATATGAAGAATCATATTACTTAATCTCTCTAAGGCTCAATTGCTTTCGGGGAAAAATAGAGATTAAAGTCCTTGCTTCAGAGATTGTTGTGAGGATTCAGTGAGGCAGCATACAAAGGGTCTGGAATATTAAAATAGGTGTTTGATAAATGCTGTTACTGTTAGTTGCCATCAAGTCAATTTTAACTCACAGTAACCTCATGGCAGAGTAGGCCTGTCCCATAGCGTTTTCTAGGCTGTGATATTTATGGGAGCAGATCACCAGGTCTTTTTCCCAAGGAGCCACTGGTTGGGTTCCAACCTCCAACTTTAAGGTTAGCTGCTGAGCACTTAACCATTGCACCACCAGTGCTCCTTTCCATAAATGCTAGTCTCCACACTATCAGGAAGGCAACCAGAGACTGCAGTGTTCGAAGGCACATAGCCACAGTTACAATCAGTTCTGTTATAACACATGTTGTTGTTGTTAGGTGCCATCAGCTGGGTTCTGACTCAGTGACCCTATTTATGCTCAACAGAATGAAACGTTGGCCAGTCCTGTGCCATTCTTACAATCCTTGCTATGCTTCAGCCCATTGTTGCAGCCACTGTGTCAATCCATCTTATTGCGAGTCTTCCCTTTTTCGCTGACCCTGAACTTTACCAAGCATGATATTCTTCTCCAGGGATTGGTCCCTTCTGACAACATGACCAAAGCACGAGAGATGAAGTCTGGCCATTCTCACTTCTAAGGAGCATTCCAGCTGTACTTCCTCCAAGAAAGATTTGTTCGTTCTACTAGCAGTCCATGGTACATTCATTATTCTTCACCTACACTGCAATTCAAATGCATCAATTCTGCTGTCTCCCATATTCATTGTCCAACTCTCACATGCATATGATGTTATCAAAAATACCATGGCTTGGATCAGGCACATCTTAGTCATACATTCCTAAAAATTGCCATGCTACATAAAATTGCACAATGAAATCCACATAGTTTACTGGAAAAATACAGTAAATATGACACTTTACTTTGGAAAAGGCCCAAAGTTTGCTTGTGGAAGTGGCATCAGAAGGATTGCTGCAGGTTGAGAGTGATTGTGAAGTGGAAGAAGGGTTATCTGGGTGGTGACTGAGGAAGCTGGTGAATGTTTGAGAAACGTTTGAGAATGTTGAGAAATATGCTCTGCGTATTCCTACAGGGTTCAATTCAGCTGGGCGTGGGTTTTCTGCATTTACATAATGTTTCTGAGGGAAGAAATGGAGCATAACAAACACAAAGTTTGCACTGTGCACAAATTGTTCCCTCATATATCACTTGTATTGTAACAGATTTGTATTTTCAGAACAAATGTTATAGCAGAATTCCTGTCCTTAGCCAATGTTGAGTCGATGAATGAACGAGTGGATCAATGGATGGTCTAGAAGATGGCATAAGCCATATGCTACTATGGGAAAGAACATTTGTAGCCTTGTAACTTGGATTAAAAACAACAACAACATAGTCTTTAAAGTACTGCACACTTACTATAAGGAGCTCTGGTGGCTCTTTGGTGAAGACATTGGGTTGCTAACCAAAAGGTAGGCAGTTTGAACCCACCAGCCACTCTGTAGGAAGAAGATGAGGCAATCTACTTCGGTAAAGATGTATAGCCTTGAAAACCTGCTGGGGTTCACTATGCGTCAGAATTGACTCGATGGCAGTAGGTTTTGTTTTGGTTTGCACAGTTACTATGTTGTTGTTGTTGTTATGTGCTGTCAAGTCAAACCTGACTCATAGCGACCCCTCCTTGGGTTTCCGAGGCAGTATCACTACAGAAATAGGATTGCCCAACCTTCCTTCCGAGGAGTGGCTGGTGGGTTTGAACTGCCAGCTGTCTGGTTAGCAGGCAAGTGTCTTAGCCACTATGCTACCAGAGCTCCCAGTTACTATAGCACATCCGATCTCTCCCCTTTCAGTGGCTTTTGGTCTAGGCTTCGAAGAGTCCCTTCAGGGGTGACATGGGGAAGGGGAGGAGAGCTGCAAGGTTCCCTGGCCTCCTTCACTTCAGCTAGAGCCCCAATGGTTTTATCAGCTTTCCTTTTTGTTTTCATTTTTAAAAAAGTGTTCAGCTGCTCATTTACAAGTTTGTAAACCACCACCATGATTCAGTTGACCAAGTTTTGTTTCACAAACTATGGATGAGCCTCAGTCGGTAGTAGTGCACTATGAATACTCGAGAAATAGTAGAATTTGACAAAGAAATACTCATGTGGGGCTTCCAATGAATGACTGCTTTCACTTCCAAACTACTAGCAAAGTCATGTAAAATCCGACTCCAGTCTGGACAGACCTCAGATGAGAGGTGATAAGCATTTAAATTTGTTGTGTATGATTTTCCCATCTCTTCACAAACATCAACAGTGATTCTTGTTTTCTCTCTCTCTTTTTTTTTTTTTTTTAGAGAGCTGGATTGAAAGATGTCTCAACGAAAGTGAAAACAAACGTTATTCCAGCCACACATCTCTGGGGAATGTTTCTAATGATGAAAGTAAGTGCTTGAAACTCATTCTTCCACGGCGTCCCACACAGCCAGTGTCCTGATGGGAGGCAGAGCACTTTGTAAATGCTTCTAGGCTGGGGCAAGGCACAGGGAACGAGAGAGTCTCAAGCCACTTATGAAATACTCCAGGACCTCCCTGTACTATTCCGCTGTAGAGAGGGGACTCTGGGCACGTGGACATGGCAGCCAAGGCCACTGCAGAAGCTTGTGGTGAATGGATTCACCTTTTGCAGTGGACTTTCTCTCCTGAGTCTCCAAAAGGCCTACAATAGGGTTGGTCCAGTTGGACGAATGTAGATGCTGAATGGGGAAGGTCACTCCCGGTGTCACTGTAGATGTGGGTTTAAAGTAGCTATGTCATGGGCTTGCTTTAGTCATGAATATCCTTACTCTCAAAAAGTAAAAATTTCTTCCAGATCTTGGACTAGAGAACTGGAGTTAATTGAAAAATAGAAACTACTGTGTTTATACCTTTCCCTGTTCTATGTCACAGTGGGGTGTCTAGGAGCTTTGTTTTCAACAGCAGAAAAATACTTGAGGCTTGTATTTGCCCCTTAAAAAAAAAAAAAAAAAAAAAAAACCCAGTTGCCCTGAGTCAATTCTGACTCCCAGTGGCCCAGTGTGTGTCAGAGTAGAACTGCACGCGCAGGGTTTTCAGTGCCTGGGGTTTTGGAAGGGGGTTACCAGGCTTTTCTTTCAAGGCCCCTGTGTGTGGCCTTGAGCCTTCAACTGTCTGGTTTGCAGCGGAGCATAACCGTCTGCACCACCCAGAGATTCCACGTGTGCCTTAAGCACTGTGAAAGGAGGCTAGCTCATTATAAATGTTATTTCTAAGCAGGGTCAAGCCCAGGGTCTTCTTGTCTCTTGGTTGATGAAGTTCATCTCCTTAGTTGGGTTTTCTCAGAGTGTGGGCCGAAGACCCATAATCCTCTATGGTCTTTGCTCAATTGCTGAACAGCTTTCTTCCAGAGTCCCCTCCGGCACTGTTATTCTATCATTATTGCTTTGTTTCATTTTATAAAACTGAGATAAAATCAACATGAAATGCACAAATCTTAAGTGAATACCTTGATGGATTTTACTTTTAACCCCACTAATATTACACACACTTGTGTAACCACCAGCCGGTTAAGACACAGAACATTTCTAGAACCCCAGGAAGCTCCCACCAGTCCCCATCCCTGTCCATAACCACTGTCTTGACTTTTATCACTGTAGATTGGTTTTGCCTGTTTTTGAAAATTCAGATAAATGGAATCATACAGTCTGCATTCGATTGTGTCTGGCTTATTTTCATTCAGTGCAATACCTGTGAGATTCACCCATGTTATTGTATGTAGCAGTAGTAGTTCAGTGCAATACCTGTGAGATTCACCCATGTTATTGTATGTAGCAGTAGTAGTTCTTTCTTTTTTACTGTATGATATTTTACTATAAATATACACAATTTACTTATCCATTCAAATATGGATGGACATTTAGATTGTGTCAGGTTTTTGGTTATTAAGAACTCAGCATCTCTGTAGTGTCTCTTGGTGGACAAGAACACTCGTTTCTGTTGGCTATATTCCTAGGAATGGAATTGCTAGATCACATGGGGTATATGTATATTTAGCTTCAGTGGATACTGCCAACTAGTTTTCCAAAGTGTTTGTACCAATTTATAATCCCACCCAGCAATTTATGGAAGTTCCAGTTGTTTCACGTCTGTTCTGGTTCCCTAGTGCCGCTCTGACAAGAATATACCACAAATGGGATAGCCTTAACAAGCAGGAATTTATTCTTACAATTTGGAGGCTTTAAGTCCTAGTTCAAAGTGCCAGGCTCTAGGGCCTGGGTGAAAGCCCCTCAACCTTGGAGTCCAGCCCTGCCTCCTGCTCCCTGGCCCACTGGAGCTAGAGGCATTTCTTTACTCAGACAGCTGCTGGCTACTAAGGCTGAGAAGCCCAAGGTTTACAAGTAAAAAGGCACAGTCCTGATGTTACCAAAACACACAGCAGGCCATTAACTTAAGGCCATTGAAAGTCCCAAGGTCGGCAGAGCATGGCAGGCTGCTGAGTAATGGCTGACAGTGGCTACATGCAGGGTCCAAGTGTGCCATAGACTAGAGACCATTTCCAAGGCTTCTCCTTATATATAGGAAGCAGACCACATCGCAAAGGCAGTTACTCAGCTGTTTGTGGTAGATCCCACCATGGAGGTGATTGCCAGTCTCATCATGGGGATTAACTACCACCAGCTGCCCAGCCACTCAACCAGGCCCAGCCAAGTTGACACACAAACATAACCACCACAGCGTCTTTGCCAATATTTTGTATACTCAATCTTTTTCATTTTAGTCTTTCTCACAGTATATGGTATACATCACTATGGTTTTAATTTGTATTTCTCTAATGACTAATGATATATAGCACCTTCTAATATACTTATTGGGCATTTGGATATCTTCTTTTGTGAACTACCTGTTCAGATCTTTTGCCTGTGTATGTTTGTGTGTTTTAAAACTGTGTATGTCTTTTCCTTAATGATTTGGAAGAGTTTTTATATTCAGGATAGGAGATGTTTGTCAGATATAAGAACTGGAAATATCTTCTCTCAGTCTGTGGCTTGCCTTTTCACTCTCATAATGATATATTTGATAATTAAAACTCACTGCCATTGAGTCATTTGTGACTCATGGCAACCCCACACTGGGTTTACAAGGCTGTAAATCTTTATGGAAGTAGATTGCCCCATCTTCCTTCTAAGGAGTGGCTGGTGAGTTTGAACCACTGACCTACTGGTTAGCATTCAAGTACCTTCTCCACTACGCCACCGGAGCTCCATATTTGATAATTAAAAGTGATTAATTTAAGTCCAATTTATCAGTATTTTTGTTTTATAGTGTTTTTTTTTTCTTTGTGTGTGTGTCCTTTTAAGAAAGTTTTGTCTACCTCAAGATCATGAAGATATTATTATTATTATTATTTTAAATTTATTATTGTGATTTGGGTGAAAGTTTACAGAGAAAATTCATTTTCCATGCAATAGTTCATACATATTTTGTTTCATGGCATTGATTACAATCCCCACAATATAACAGTCCTCTTCCCACTTTCTCCCTCTGGTTACCTTTCCCCTGTGCCCTTCTTTCCTGTGCATTTCTGCTCTCTGAGCTATCTTCCCGTGCAGAAACTGATCTCCCATGGTTGATTGTTCTCAGGAGTGTACCTGCCTAGTGTAAATGTTCACTTTACATGCCTGTCTAGTGTTTGGCTGGAAGCCACAGGAGTGAGTTCAATTCTAAACCTGAAGGGTGACTAGGACCATAGTCTCTGGGGTTTTAGTAGTCTCTATCAGATCAGTAAGCCTGGTCTTTTTTATGATTTTGAGTTTTGTTCCATGTTTTTCTCCCACTCTAATGAGGATCCCCTACACTAATCCCTTTCCAAGTGGTTGACAGTGGTAGCTGGGCACCATCTAGTTCTTCTGGATTCAGGGTCATGTAGGCTGAGGTTCGCATGTTCCACTAAGTACCTTGGACTAATGGTTTCCATGCATCTTTGGTTTTCTTCATTCTTCTTTGCTCCAGATGAGGAGAGACCAATTGTTGCACCTAGATGGCCGTTTGCAAGATTTTAAGACCTCAGCCACAACTCAAGAAAGTAGGATGTAGAATGATGTTTTTGTGTATTATGTTATGCCAATTGAGCTTGGTGTCCTGCACAACCATAATCCCTAGTCCATGGTCCCAACAACTCACTCCCTCAGAGTGGTTGGGTGTGGCTAAGAAGTTATCATAACTTTGTTCCCTGTTACCTCTATTATATATATGGACATTCTTCTACCACATACAAATATGTATATAGAAATGTCATCTGCCATCCTTACATATGGTCATGGGCAAATTCCATTCTGCCTATACATATCTGACCATTCAGCCTGTCTATTAACATTATTACTGATAATGCAGTATTGTGTATGTAAAAGGGTTTATCTTTGCTGCCTATACTTCTTATGCACCTCTCTGTGTCTTCCTTTTCCTTAGTGTTTGTGGTAGTTAAAGTTGTATGTCAACTTGGTTGGGCTTGGTTGAGTGGCTGGGCAGCTGGTG